GGAGGCCAAGGTGGGCAGATCACCTGAGGTCAGGAGTTCAAAATCAGCCTGGACAACATTGTGAAACCCTATCTCTACTAAAAATACAAAAATTAGCTGGGCTTGGTGGCAGGCACTTGTAATCCCAGCTACTTGGAAGGCTGAGGCAGGAGAATTGCTTGAACCTGGAAAGTAGAGGTTGCAGTGAGCTGAGATCACACCATTGCACTCCAGCTTGGGCAACCGAGTGCAACTCCATCTCAAAAAAAACAAAAAAACAAAACAAAAAAACCTATGCTGACATTCTGTTCCTCCTGGGAAGATATCATACCCCTCAACTGAGATGAGCCGGGTAGATGCGGGTAGATCTGTCTTCTTGGCTGTACCATCTGGAGTGGAGTTTCCATCACATTAAACTGGGGGAGGCAGGAATGCAATAGGTCGTGTTTCAGACATCACAACTCTTCATTCTTCTTACTGAGTTTTTTTGTTTGTTTGTTTGTTTTTTGTTTTTTTTTTTTTTTTGAGACGGAGTCTCACTCTGTCACCCAGGCTGGAGTACAGTGGCCGGATCTCAGCTCACTGCAAGCTCTGTCTCCCAGGTTTATGCCATTCTCCTGCCTCAGCCTCCCGAGTAGCTGGGACTACAGGCGCCCGCCACCTTGCCCGGCTAGTTTTTTTGTATTTTGTAGTAGAGACGGGGTTTCACCGTGTTAGCCAGGCTGGTCTCGATCTCCTGACCTCGTGATCCGCCCGTCTCGGCCTCCCAAAGTGCTGGGATTACAGGCTTGAGCCACCGTGCCCGGCCCTTACTGAGTTTTAGTAGCTTTTCCTCGTTAAATCTTTCTCATTTGCTGTGTGTCCTTAGGAACATTTTCAGAGACTTTAAATCATTGTTTTTTAATACTTTTCATTAGTTTCACTAGGTAGTAGTTCCAGGGAACTCAGACTGCTATGCTAGAAGTCTGTCCTCTCAAATTAATATTTAGGAAGCTTCTTAAACCTTAATTCCAAAACACTGATAAAGATGATACCAAAATGAAACTGTAGATTAGTTTACTATTATTAAAGATATGAAAGTAGGCTGGATATAGTGACTTTACACCTGTAATCCCAGCACTTTGGGAGACTGAGGTGGAGGATCATTTGAGCCCAGGAGTTCAAGACCAGCCTGGGCAATATAGTGAGACCCTGGGTCTATAAAAGTAAAAATAAAAAAATTAGCCAGGTACTGGGGCATGTGGTCCCAGCTACTTGGGAGGCTGAGATGGGAGGATTGCCTGAGCCCAGGAGGTTGAGGCTGCAATGAGCTGTGCATGCCACTGCATTCCAGCCGGGGCAACAGAGCAAGACTCTGACTCAAAAAAATAAATAAAGTGCTAAGTAAAATATTAGTAATTATCAATCTAGTAGTGATCCCTATGTAAGACACATTATAAGTAAGGTTTGTTTGGAGAGATGGTTCCATAAGAAATCTAGCAACACTTACTGTGTGCGGTGGCTCACGCCTGTAATCCCAGCACTTTGGGAGGCCGAGGCGGGCAGATCACGAGGTCAGGAGATTGAGACCATCCTGGCTAACACACTGAAACCCCGTCTCTACTAAAAATACAAAAAATTAGCCAGGCGTGGTGGCGGGCGCCTGTAGTCTCAGCTACTCGGGAGGCTGAGGCAGGAGAATGGCGTGAACCCAGGAGGGAGAGCTTGCAGTGAGCTGAGATGGCGCCACTGCACTCCAGCCTGGGTGACAGAGCGAGACTCTGTGTCAAAAAGAAAAAGAAATCTAGCAACATTATTGGTATAATGCAAACTCTTTTCTCTTCATGTGCAAATAGTGAGATTATGCTCTTAGAAAAGCTGAATGATCCCACCAAAATGTTCTTAGAATTTATAGAATTTGGTAAGGGGATGGGATTCAAAATAGCATACAAAAAGTAATAGTGTTTCTCTATTCTAGTACTAACCAGTTAGAAATTTAAATGGAAAAAAAAAAACTACTTAAAATAACCACACAATGTATGAAATAGCTAAGAATAGAGATTTAAGAAGAAAGACTTGAGGGCCAGGCACGGTGGCTCACGCCTGTAATTCCAGCACTTTGGGAAGCTGAGATGGGTGGATTGCCTGAGGTCAGGAGTTTGAGACCAGCCTGGCCAACGTAGTAAAACCCTGTCTCTACTAAAAATACAAAAAATTAGCTGGGCGTGGTGGTGGGCGCCTATAATCCCAGCTACTCAGGAGGCTGAGGCAGGAGAATCACTTGAACCGGGGAGGTGGAGGTCGCAGTGAGCCAAGATTACACCATTGCACTCCAGCCTGGGCAACAAGAGCAAAACTCTGTCTCAAAGAAAAAAGAAGAAGAAGAAAGGCTTGAGATCTTTAAGAACTACAAATACTCCAAGGATATGAAATAAGACCTTAATGAATAGAGGAATGTTCTGTGTTCTTAAATGGGCGATTTTATAGTGAAACAAAACGAAAACCAGTTCTCTCCAAATTAATATAGACAGCACAATTCTAGTCAAAAATCTCAGTTGGGGAGTAGGACTGAATGAAATGAAATTATTTAAAGTTTTACATTGTAGAATTCAGTCTAACAATAGTTGAGAGATTGATTTCAAAAAGATTAAAACTACAAAGCTTCTGCAATTAAAAAACCAAAAAAGTGATATTAACACAGTAATGAAACAGTGGAACCATAATAAAGAGTCTAGCAAAAGATCCCAGTATGTTTCAGACTTAGTCATTTGTTGAAGTTAGTACAGATATCTTATCTGAAACCTTAGGGCCAGATGCCTCAGAATTCATTTTTGGGCTTCAGAAAGCCAGTATGCAAGGCTGGACACAGTGGCTCACACCTGCAATTCCAGCACGTTGGGAGGCTGAGGTGGGAGAATTGCTTGAGCCCTGGAGCTCCTGACCATAGTGTGACCTCGTCTCTACAAAAAATAAAAAATTAGCCAGGCATGGTGGTGAGTGAGTACCTATAGTCCCAGCTACTCAAGAGGCTAGAGTGGGAAGATCACTTGAGCCCAGGAGTTTGAGGCTGCAGTTAGCCATGATCACACAATGGCAGTGCAGGCTGGGCAACAGAGTGAGACCCCTATCTCTAAAATAAAAAGAAAGACAATATGGTATTAGCACTAACCTCTCCAAAAGGATCTGGGGAAAGTGCCTTGTAGATGAGTCATGAATAATTCTTCACAAGACATATATATAAATGGAATAAATTAAAATGTAATGTCAGTTCATATAAAAGCCACCAAAGGAATTTTGGGGGAAAACTTGTTTTCTAGAGCCTTTTGGATTTCCAGTTTATAGATAAGGGATTATAGAACTCTATTCCAATTTGGTAGGGAAATAATGGTTTGTTTTGTACATTTCTGGAAAAGAAAATTTTGGACCCTCTACCTCATAACACATATAGATTGAGTTCATCCTTCATCTGAAAATCTGAAACACTCTGAAATCCAAAACTTTTTTTTTTTTTTTTTAAGAGATTGAGTCTTGCCATGTTGTGCAGGATGGAGTGCAGTGGCTGGTCACAAGTGAAATCATTGCACACTATAGCCTTGAACTCCTGAACTCAAGCGATCCTCCTGCATCAGCCTCATGAGAGTAGCTGAGACTACAGGCACAAGCCACTGTGCCCAGTAAAATCTGACTTTTTCAGCACAGACATGACAAAGTAAATGCTCATTGAAGCATTTCAGATTTTGGGTTTTTTTGGAGTAGGGATGCTCACCTGGTAAGTATAATGCAAATATTCCAAAATCTGAAAGACTTCTGGTCATAAGCACTTTGGATAAGGGATACTCAATCTGTATCAAATTCTAGAAAATTTGGCTAGGCGTGGTGGCTCATGCCTGTAATCCTAACACTTTGGGAAGCTGAGATGGGTGGAGGTCCTGAGCTCAGGAGCTCAAGACCAGCCTGGGCAACATAGGAAAACACTGTATCTACTAAAAAAACAAAAAATCAGCTGGGTGTGGTGCGTGAGTGCCTACTCAGGAGGCTGAGGCATGTGAATTGCCTAAACCCAGGAGGCGGAGGTTGCAGTGAGCTGAGAGCCCCTGCACTCCAGCTTGGGTGACAGAGCGAGACTGTCTAAAAAAAAAAAAAAGAAAATTTAAATGTGAAAAATAAAACCAAGATGAGAAAATAGTTAGAAAACTACAGACTCTGGGCGGGTGGTCCAGTGTGCTTACCAGAGCACTCAGTTGCCGGTGGACAGGGAAATGCCGTGGGAAGCAGCAGCACAGATTCTTCTGTCTTTCATCCACAGCAAAAATACCCCACAGTGACAACATCCAGTGCTGATGGGCAGGCAGGAGGACCAGGTCACTGTTTTTAACACAGGTGGAAGCAGCATGACTTGGAAATGTTTTGCAGTTAATTGGGCACTATCACTTTGAAACCAAACCTGGTTAGAATTAAAAGCACCAGCATGGAAGTGTACAGGTTTATTCTGGTGTTGCTGGGTTATTGTGGAGAAAATGTGGAAGCAATATAAATGTGCCTCAGTTGGGAGAATTTATGGTGTGGTCATCTGGGCATCCAGAGCTAGGAGGATAAAGTGTTGGCAAGTGAGAAAGAGTCACTGAGGAACGGTCTATAGTAGTATCCTAATTGTGTATCTTTAGTTTGTTATGAGCATGTATGATGTCTGTTAATATTTTCCTCCAGTAGTAGAGAAAACGTGCTAAGGAAAAAAAAAATGAAGATGGAGAGAGTAGAAGCAGCAAGTGAGAAGGCTTTCTGAAACATGTAAATGGAGTGGGCGGGACTCAGTGGGCTCTCCCACCCCGCCAAAAATATCCTCCTTTTAGCTTACGGTTTTTATAATGATCAAAGTGAGATTTGCCTGTACTCCCACCATGAGGAAATGGCCCCGCATACTGACGGAAATCCTTCCAGACAAAATGGCTCTGGCATGCTTTGCAGACAGTACTATATTATACACCTTTCTTTTGCCATTGGAGAGATGAGCCCGATTTGAAGGGCTGCATGACGTTCTTTTGAATGTACAATTTATTTAACCTTTTCTGCACTGAGGAACGTTTAGGTGTTTTCCCATTTTTCACCACTACAATCAGTGTGCACGTATGTTTCCAATTCTTAAATTTAGGATAGGTTCTGGGAAGGGATTAATGAAACAGATTTTTACTTTTCATACATTCTGTCAAACTGCTTTCCAAAAAATATGGAAACAGTTGATCCTCCCAGCAGCATAGAAGTGTCTCTTCAACCTTGCATGACTGGGAATAATTCTTCATTCTTGGAATTCTGTGGGTTAAAAAGACATGTTTGATTAAATATCTGTTCCTGCTTTTATACCCTCCCCGTTGGTCCCAAAGTGCTCCTTGCCTATTAGCCTAGTTGGCACCTTGTTATGGGTTGCACCTTTGGCTCTTAGTTTCTTAATTTGTTCACTGCTTATAGCTTTTTTGTAAGCAAATCAGATTTCTGTAATACAGCCGTAAAGATATATAGAGATCTATAGATCTGTATTTTTAATTACCTACAGTAAGTGTGGTGTGGAAGGAGAAGGAATTTGAACAAAGATCAGATAGGTTGTGGTTCCATGCTTGTAGAGTGGCCCTCCGTTGGTGGGGCTGCGCTCCGGGTGGAAGCGGGTGGAAGCGTGGGTGGAGGGGCAGGGGGGCGTCCCTCTAAACTGGCAGGGTCGGGGCGGGAACTTGTAGGGCACTCAGAGCAGCCTCTCCAGCCCCTTCTGCCCTGCCCGCAGCTCATGATGGAGCAGTCCAAGAAGTCCTCGCTCATGGTGGCCCGCAGTATTCTCAACAACAAGCTCATCAGCAAGAAGCTGGAGCGCTACCTGAAGGTGAGGCGCTGGTCCTGGCCTGGGCTTGTCCCCACCTCAGTCCCTGCCTGTGCTCCCTCACTTCAGTGTCCGCGCCCCTCCCCACAGGGCGAGAACCCTTTCACCGACAGCCCCGAGGAGGAGGCTGAGGGCGGTGCCCTGGACGAGGGGGCACAGGGCGAAGCGGCAGGGGTCTCGGAGGGTGCAGAGGGCGCGCCGGCGCAGCCTCCCGTGCCCCCAGAGCCAGCCCCCGGCGCCGTGTCGCCGCCACCGCCGCCGCCCCCAGAGGAGGAGGAGGAGGGCGCCGTGCCCTTGCTGGGAGGGGCGCTGCAACGCCAGATCCGCGGCATCCCGGGCCTCGACGTTGAGGACGACGAGGAGGGCGGCGGGGGCGTCCCGTGACCCGAGCTCGGGGCGGGCGGGGCCCGCGTGGCCGAAGCTGGAAGCCAAACCTAATAAAGTTTTCCCATCCCACCTCCCGGTTTCTCTGTTACGGTGCCGCGCGGGCCGGGCGGGGCGCGGGCCGAGAGGCGGGGCGCGCATTCGCGCGGGCCGGGCCCTCGGGCACCGCTGCGGGACCACAACTCCCGACAGGCTGCGGAGGTGGAGCTTCGCAGCCCGAAAGGCTAGCTGGGACGGTGAGGGCGGACCCTCGTGAATGCCAGCCAATGGGAGCGCGCGGAAGTAGTGACGTGTGCGCCTAGTCTTCCAGTAGTCGACGGCGGAGGTGCGTTGAACGCATGCGTGCTGTGGTCTCCTAGTAAAAGGGGCTGCTGGTGGGCCGCGTTGAAGACATGGACCAGGGCTACGGAGGTTTGTGTAGGCTGCTGGGTGCAGAGTAGGGAGCGAAGGCTGAGTGCGAGCCACGCAGCCGCTGCGCAGACGGCCGCGGGCCGGGCCTTCGTCCGGAGTGTGGTTGCCGCAGCCGGGCCCTGCAGAGAGTCGGCCAGAGCGCGCGCGCGCGCCGCTCATTGGGCTTTGGCGCCGTCGCTCCCGGGGCGCTGCGTGCGGATTGGCCGCCAGGGCCCGAAGAGGCGGGCGGGACTCGGGGTTGGGGCAGACGCCGCGGTGGGCTTCATGGGGGGCGCCTTGGGCTGTGCGGGCCGTTTCTGTCCCTCACCTTCGGCGGGGCCCTTCCGGCCCCCGGCGACCCCGGGGTTTGCACTCCCGGCTTCCTCTTCCGAAGACGCCACAAAATGGCGGCGCTAGGGGGCGGAGCTACAGCGTGGGGTCCTGAGGTCGGGCTCCGGGCGCTGGGTCTGGGGCCACGGGTGGACCGCTGGGGCCGCCTCTCCTGACCTGCCCTAGGCCTTCGGGGCCGGGTGGGGCCTCTGCTGGGCTCCCAAGGCCCAGGGCGCCTGTCCCGGAAGCCGTCGGGCTGCGCGGGGTCGGGCCTTTAATCCCCGGTGCTGCGTATTGAGGCCGAGTGCGGCCGGCGCGGGAGTCAGCCTCGCTGGGCTCCAGCTCTGTAGCCGGCGCGTGCTGGCGTGGGACAGGATGGTGAGGGGCAGATGCTGAGTGTTTGTATAAAGCTGGAAACCTGATTGTGCCCTGGGGCTGGTGACAGATTGGCCATTCTCATGTAGGCAGTGCGTTGCGGTGGCTTGGAGGGGCCAAGGGGTTGTGCAAGAGGGAACGTGTCCTTTCCCCGCTTGGCTTTAGCGCTTGGCCTGCAGTAGGGCCGATTTTCTCGAGCTTCCTGCTCCCCGCCTCTGGAATCAGAGCCTTCTGGGAGCCAAGTTTGCCCACAGGGGATAGTTGGGACACGCTGGGTGGAGCTCGACTGGGTGTAGAGAAGCTAGTGGTCTGATCCTGACTGCAGGAGCTCAAGAAGTTGTCGATCTTGAGAAGTGGCAGGGCAAAATTATCCTATCACCAGAAATTGCAGAGACAGGAGAGCGGTCGGTCCTGAGGCGGCAGCGTGCGCGGTGTGCTTTGGTGTCTTCCGGGTCCTAGCGAAGGCTCTCCTGGTCTGCCACAGCCTGGGTAGATTTCACCATTCTCTCCTTTCCTTCCCATCAGATCTTTTCTGCCGGTATTGTCTTTTTCAGTCGTAGTTTGGAGAGGTTTTTTAAATCCCCTTTTCCTACCTCCCGAAAACCTTTCAGACACAGTGGAGATAGTTCAGCTTCCCCGATTTCTTGTGTTTCGGGGAGCGTTTTAAGGTTAATAATGCGTGCTGCTTACACTAGAGCTTCACAGGGAAGCGGCCTCTCGAGGTTGGTTACTTGCTGTTAGAATCTGCAGTCTGCCTTTCTGTTGCACGGATGCAAATTTAGAAGGCTTTGCGGTATGACGGAGGGGAAGGCATAGCATAGCAGAGGGCAAAACTCAGCGGTTATGACTGGGTCAAGTCTCGTAACCCATGAGCCTAGCTCCCTTGTCTCTGAATGGCCTTCGGGACAACAGGGTTTGCTGGGTGCTTGCAGTGTATCGGCACACACTAGGCACTTAGCGGCGGGGCTTGTTCTGGTGAGGGAGACATGGGTATGTTCCTGCCTCATCAAAGTGAAGTCATTTAACAGGCATGGTGGCCACCCGCGCGCAGCTGAGTGCTGGGCCCCAGGGACACAGAAATGAAGAGAACACAGTTCCCATCCTCCTTCCTGGAGGGACCAGACAGATCCCATAGTGGGTGGGGGGTGTTGGGAGGGTCGAAGAGTGCAGTCTGATGCCTTAGGGCCAGGCCAAGGCCCTGGGACTTAAAGGTCCAGGGGATCCGTGGAGGGCTTAAAAGTGATAGGAAGTGCGGCTTAGAGAGATGCAGTTTATGTCACCAAATTCCCATGCTTGTTCTCAGTTACAGGGTACTTGTGATAGTAGTCGGAACTGGTTTCCTGGCTGTGTGGTGGGTGGGGGAATGTGTCCTCATGCTGAATGGATTGTCTTGTGTTAGCCTCAGTTGTGGATGGACTCTTGGAGGGGTGAGGTACTTGGCCAAGGTCCCTCTGCAGGCGGAGCTGACCTCCAAGCCCACTTCCCACCCTTCTTTTTCTGCTTTGATCTCAGCCAAGTGGAATGCGATGATGCCGTTAGCCAGCTGTGGGGTGGCTTTTTTGTGTGTTGGGGGGGGGGTATTCCTTCTTGTAAGGCTGACACTGAACTGTAAGGAGATCCATTTAGGAGTACCCCTAAAAGGACCCGTTCTCTGGTGTGACAAATAGAATCTTAACTCACGGGGGTCTTCTTGCAGGCTATGGGGCATGGAGTGCTGGACCTGCCAACACCCAGGGTAAGTGGGCTCTGCTTTGCGGGTGAGGCGTGGGCTTCCCCTACATTCAAGGCCCTAACATGGCAGAGCTGAACCTGATGGTCACCAGGGTCAAGGGAGGTGGTAGCGGGGGTCAACAAACTTTGTGTAAAGGATCAGATGGTGAATATCTTTGTGGCTTTATGAGCTCCACAGTCTCTGTAGCAGGAAAGCAGTCATAAATGTGTGAAAGAGTGGATGGGACAATGCCAATAGTTACTTATAGACAATATAATTCGAAGATCATAATTTTTGTGTGTTATTAAATCCTCTATTTTGGCAAAATATTTTTATTCTGAGTAAATAGCTGAGGGTATATCCAAGGTGTTTTTTCTCTATAATTAACAGATTTTTAGCACAGCTTTAGATTTAGTAGTAGAGTTTCATAGGCCCACATATCTCTACTCAGGTGTAGTGTCTCTCATTAGTACGATTTTTTTTTTCTTTTGAGACAGAGTCTTGCTCTGTTGCCCAGGCTAGAGTGCAGGAGTGTGATCTCGGCTCACTGCAGCCTCAGTCTCCTGAGTAGCTGGGATTACAGGCACCCACCACCGCGCCCAGCTAATTTTTGTATTTTTAGTAGAGACAGGGTTTCACGATGTTGACCAAGCTGGTCTCGAACTCCTGACCTCGTGATCAGCCCTCCTTGGCCTCCCAAAGTGCTGGGATTACAGGTGTGAGCCACCACACCCAGCCTCATTAGTAAGATCTTTCATTAGCTGGGTGAGGCAGCTCATGTCTGTAATCCCAGCAGTTTGGGAGGCTGAGGCAAGAGGCTCACTTGAGCCTGGGAGTTCGAGACCCAAGCTCAAGTGATCCTTTTATCCTAGTAATAAAAAATTAGTAGGGCGTGGCAGTGCGTGCCTGTAATCCCAGCCGCTCAGAAGGCTGAGGTAGAAAGATTGCTTGAGCCCAGGAGGTCAAGGCTGCAGTGAGCTGTGAGCCACTGCACTCCAGCCTGGGTGACAGAGCAAGACCCTGTCTCCAAAAAAAAAAAAAAAAAATCTTGCATTAGTGTGATGCATTTGTTACAATTAATTAGCCAGTGTTTCAGTGTTTATGTGATATTATTCACTATAGCTCATAGTTTTTCTTAATTTGCATAGTCTCTGAGTTTTGACCCAATGTGTCAGTGATATATTTCATGTCAAAATTTGTCATTGAATATACCTTAGAAGCTTTACCCCAACCATTTAAAAACGTAAAATTCACCCTTCGCTGAGGGCAGAGCCTGAGAACACAGGGCTACAGGCAGTGTGCTGGTACTTACTTATGAGCACTGAAATTCGAAAATCACAAGGGCTGTGCCAAGGTGGGCAGTGGGCTCCGTGTGGCCTGACTTTTTGCAGATCCCCACTCTAGAGTCAGGGTCACGATGCTAGGCTTGTTTGGGGGGCCGTTGTGTGCTCTCTGCTGGCAAGGTTTTCTGCTTTCTGCCAGCCCGTGTTCCAGGGCACGAGGGCTTCCTTTGTGTTCTGAGTCTGAGATCTGTCTCTAGCAATATGGGGAGTGGGGCTGCTTTTCGAGCCACCACCCGGTGTTTCAGGGGGAGGCCTTCGAAGTCGCTCGAGGCACATAACGTCCTCTTGCTCGCTTGAGTTGAGGACGTGACTTTGCACCAATGCCTAGCTGTGCAGTTGGCAGCGCCTGCACTCTGGCTTCTGGTGGGAACTGGCCCTTTACGAGGACTCTGCCTGGGGCCTGACCCGGCCAACCTCTTGGCCAGCAGCCCACAGTAGACGAGCTTCCTGGGGAGCGTGCAGCATCCCTTCCCTTGCCCTGACGGGAAGTTGGCCTTGCACGGGAGAAGGCTGGCTTGTGCTCAGCCTAGTGCTCTGTAGGAGTTGAGTGAGCTAAGAACACCCAAGGGTGCCTCCCTGAGCGCTGCAGAGGGAAGCCCTGGCCCTGGGACTGTGGAGGGTGGAGCGGGGTGACAGCTGGGGTGTCAGTGCCTTCGTTCTGCAAACAGGGCTCTTGTGTGTTTTTGTTTCCCCTAAGGTGCATATGGAACTGGTGTGGCCAGCTGGCAAGGTAAGCCCTTCTGTGCCGGGGGAGGGTCTGATCTGAAGGCCAAGTAGGTTCAGCCCATCAGGGAGGTTTGGCGTGGACTTCCTGGCTCTGTTCCTGAGGACACAGTCAGCCCGGGCTGCTGTTGTGAATACGGAGCGGTTGGTGGGCTGGGGCGGCTGCAGACGGCTGTGGTGGGCAGCTTCAGGGAAGCATGATGGGGAGGACTGGGACTGTGCTCTGGCAGCAGCCGGAACTGCTGTTCCCAGACGCAGTCACCCGGCTTAGAATGGGGAACAGGTCCTAGAGTCTGGCACGGAAAACCCACTGCTTGGCCCTGAGGCTGCCCCTTTCTTTGGCCACCTCCTGCTGCCTCTTGGCAGGTCACAGTGCAGTGTGAAATGATGCCAGCAGCACTGGGTCCCACACCCCTTTTCCTTCTCGGTGGCAGTGGGTGCCCCTCCCTGGTTGTGTCCACCATGCTGACTTGGCTCCTCCCCCCATGACAGGTTATGAAAACTACAATTACTATGGCGCCCAGAACACCAGTGTCACCACAGGCGCAACCTACAGCTACGGCCCAGCCTCGTGGGAGGCCACCAAGGCCAACGATGGCGGCCTGGCGGCGGGGGGCCCTGCCGTGCACATGGCCTCTTATGGCCCAGAGCCATGCACCGACAATTCCGACTCCCTCATTGCCAAGATCAACCAGCGTTTGGACATGATGTCCAAGGAAGGAGGCAGGGGCGGGAGCGGCGGCGGTGGGGAGGGCATGCAGGACCGGGAGAGGTGATTATGGACCCAAGCCCTTCCCCTGGGACCCCACACCTCCCCACCTTTGTGCACATGGGAGTGGGCACCCACTCTTGAGGGAGGACCTGTCCTCGCCTCCCTCCTGAGTGTGGCATTGATGAGCTGGGCTCGTGGGGGGCCAGCGGTGTTACAGTAGGACTTCCTTGCTTGTCTTCATGGTGGGGCTTGGGCATGGTTGTTGGCTAACCTCCCCGAGACTCCTTTTTCCTGCATCCTGCTGCTCCTGTGGCCAGGGGCTCTGAGTCCCCCACTCAGCAGTATTCCGGGGGGGTGTTGGTTGGTGTTGGCCATCCAAGCACTTAGGTGGAATGCAGGGTGGTTTGGTTTGCTGTTTTGAATGTAGGGGCGTTGAGGTTATACTGAGGGAGTGTGGCAGTGGGTGACTGGGGTGACTGCCCCTAACAGGCTGTGCTTCTGTTGCAGCTCCTTCCGCTTCCAGCCGTTCGAGTCCTATGACTCCAGGCCCTGCCTGCCCGAGCACAACCCCTACCGCCCCAGCTACAGCTATGACTATGACTTCGACCTGGGGTCCGACCGCAATGGCAGCTTTGGGGGGCAGTACAGTGAATGCCGGGACCCGGCCCGGGAGCGGGGCTCCCTTGATGGCTTCATGCGGGGCCGGGGCCAGGGCCGGTTCCAGGACCGGAGCAACCCTGGTGCCTTCATGCGCAGTGACCCCTTTGTGCCCCCTGCTGCGTCCTCTGAGCCCCTGTCCACGCCATGGAACGAGCTGAACTACGTGGGTGGACGGGGCCTGGGAGGGCCCTCCCCCAGCCGGCCGCCTCCGTCCCTCTTCTCCCAGTCCATGGCTCCCGACTACGGCGTGATGGGCATGCAGGCGGCAGGCGGCTATGACAGCACCATGCCCTACGGATGTGGCCGCTCGCAGCCTCGGATGCGGGATCGGGTAAGCCCTCACAAGGTCCCTTCCAGCTGCCTTCGCTTCTCTTTTTAGCGCTTTATCGAGGTAAAATTTCCCCATCTCAACATTCACTTAAATGTTTTTAAGTGCGCAGTTCGACTTTTAGTTAATTTACAGGATTGTGTAACCATCCCCACCACCACAGTCTAATCTTAGCATTTGTGTCAACTGGAAGAGAAACCTCTGCTCCTTAGTCACCCCCGTCTCCTCCCCCCCAGCCTCCAACAACCACCACTGGTCTCTAGATTTGCATGTTCTAGACATTTTGCACAAATGGAGTCACGAAACGTGCGGCCTTTTGTTCCTGGGTTCTTTCACTCAGCATGATTTTCTTTTTAGTTTCAAATATGTTGTCACTGCTTTTTAAAAGACCTTTTGTGCCTGTGTTGTCTGATCTTATAACCTTGCTCTTTTCTGTGGGGCATCTTCACGGCCCCGGTAAGTAGCTCACGGGCTGTGCTTGTTGTCTGTAGCCCAAGAGGAGAGGGTTTGACCGCTTCGGACCAGATGGCACGGGCAGGAAACGGAAGCAGTTCCAACTTTACGAGGAGCCAGACACCAAACTGGCCCGGCTTGACAGTGAAGGAGATTTCTCCGAAAATGGTATGTCCTGGGGGCCAGGGGGGCCAGGCGGATGTAGGATGGGTCAGCTGCCTGCTGGGGTCTGCCTGCCCCGTCTGTGTCGTGGACACTCGAGGGTGGCATGTTTCACCACCACTGTGGTCAGGGCACACTCACCCTGGACGGCGAGCTTGGGAGGGTGGAAACCAGATGGGACCACTCTCCGGGGACTGACTTTTCCTCTCTTTGTGTCTGGCAGATGACGCAGCTGGTGACTTCCGCTCGGGAGATGAAGAATTCAAGGGTGTAAGTCCACCAGGCAGCCCTTTCGCCTCTAGCGTGGGATTTCTTCTTTCTTTAATCGCCCTTCCTCACAAAGGGGCAGGAGCGGCTGCCGTGGTGGATTTGACTACCTCTGAGTAGATTTAGGACCCTGACTTTTAGCTAGGTTTCTAAAAGTTTTCCACCTTAGCTGGGCGCAGTGGCTCACACCTGTAATCCTAGCACTTAGGGAGGCCCAGGTGGGTGGATCATTTGAGGTCAGGAGTTCAAGACCAGCCTGGCCAACATGGTGAAACCCCATCTCAATTAAAAATACAAAAGTTAGCCAGGAGTGGTGGCATGTGCCTGTAGTCCCTGCTACTCGGGAGGCTGAGGGAGGAGTATCACTTGAACCTGGGAGGTGGAGGTTGCAGTGAGCTGAGATCGCACCACTGCACTACAGCCTGGGCGACAGAGGGAGACTGTCTCAAAAAAAATGTTTTCAACTTAGAGCAAACATTCCCTTTCTGAAAAAAGCTCCCAGTTCCTCTCCCTCGTCTCCAGGCCAGTAAGTGCAGGGACTGTAGGCTGAAGCTTCCAAGCACAGGCTGGAGGCTGATTTGCCGCCAGCTCCATACCAGGTGCTGCTGACCGGTGTCCTCATCCTTCCATCCTCACAACAAGGCACAGGCGGGTAGCATGTGGGGCCAGTTCGTAGCCGGGACCACCCCAAGCTCCTGGGGAGGTGCCTCAGCCACCCCAGTGAAGATTCTGATCCAAGTTGGAGGTGTAGGGCCTGGATGTCCAGCGTGGGAAAGAGGGCCTTCCCAAGTCCTTACAGTCACATAGGCAGGAGACGGTGGCTTTTCAGGTTTTCAGAGTCTCACTTGATTCCAATTTTGCTGGTGTTGAGACTAGGAATCTCTGCAAACCTACTGATTCTTAATTTAACCGTATGTTCACTGCCTAAGGAGTCAGCTCTGTTTAGATTCTCAGTTGAATTTTTTTTATGTATACATGATTTGTTATCAAGACATTGGGTAAATATAGGCCAGGTGCGGTGGCTCACGCCTGTAATCCCAGTATTTTGGGAGGCCGAGGTGGGTGGATCACTACGTCACAAGATCAAGACCATCCCGGCCAATATGGTGAAACCCTGTCTCTACTGAAAATACAAAAATTAGCCGGACGTGGCGGCGTGCACCTGTAGTCCCAGATACTCCGGAGGCTGAGGCAGGAGAATAGCTTCAACCCAGGAGGCAGAGGTTGCAGTGAGCTGAGATCACGTCATTGCACTCCAGCCTGGGAGACAGAGCGAGACTGTCTCAAAAAAAAAAAAAAAAAAAGAAAAGATATTGTATAAACATAAACAAAAGCTTGGGAAACGTGGTGGAACCTATTTTCTGTCAAGAATGCCGGAACTGGCATCCCCCGAGTGAGACTCCATCTCCCTACAGTTGGTGAACAGGCTCTGTTCATAGAATTGTACGGGTGGGCCTTTGTCACGGGGTAGGCAGTTCTGCAGCTTAGGAGGAGCTGAGAGAGGGTGGGTGAGTGGCTTTCTAGAAAGGTGGTCGTCACAGAATATCTGAAGGCAACTGGGAGTAATAACAGGACACACAGGCCCTGTCCTGAGCCCCAGAGGGTGGTCCTGACACTGTGGCTCATTCTTGGTGGCATAATAACCTAGGTCTGGGGTGGGACCACCCACCAGGCAGTGGCCAGGGACTGGGCTGGGTGTGGAGAGCTGTGGACACACCAGCTCACTGCCGAACTTCGTGTATTCTCTTTTCCAGGAGGATGACTTCGGCGACTCTGGGAAGCAGAGAGGTAGGCGTCACCGTGTCCCTTGCAGCTTTCCTGTGTCTTCCTGGCTGCCCCGCACTTACTGCCCAGCTTCTGAGCAAGCCGGGGCCTGGATGGAGGGGCCCGTGGCTGTGGGGGAAGAGGGGCTGCAGCCACCAGATGGGCCTTGACCGTGGCGATCGGCCGACACTTTGCTTCAAAGTGTCTGGGGCAGCATTTACCGGAAACGGGTCTGGCTGCCTGACCCGATGCAGGCTGCAGTGGGGATGGGGGGCAGCCTTGGGTGTCCACCACAGTTGAAGTTTGTAGGGAAGGAGACACATGAGAGAAGAGGCTCCCAGCCCATCTTCTGTGCCCTGCTCGGCCAGTGCATGTCCCTGAACTGTTTTCTCCAGGGCTTCCTTTTGTCCAGTTCTTTCAGTCACCTGCCCTGGGCCATGCTGTGGACCTCTGTGGTGGGGATACTGGCAGCTGCAGTGCACATTGCTTTGTGCCTGCAAGTGTGTGACAGCAGACAGCTGCGGGGTCGGGAGCACCAGGCCCACTGGGTCTTTGAGAGGCAGGCGCCCTTCAGCAGGTCTCTTCATGTCCAGTGCAGGAGATGAAAGGGTCCGCAGCAACAGCAGACCAGGCTTAAAGCCCCACGGCAGGGCGGCCTGAGGTGCCACGGCCTGGAGCTCACCCTGAAGCCACTTGTTTCTTTACCTGTTCTGTGGGTCTTTCCGTAGCTGGTTACCCCAAGGATCACAGGCTGGCTCCTCAGTGGCCCTGCTCCCATGCATTCTGAAGGCCCTTGGCTTAGATGCTCCTGCTGTTCAGGCTTAGCCAGCCCTCTGCGGTCCTCCCCCGTGCGACCCGCAGCAGTCCTGTCCGTAGCACGGGGCGCCCCGAGCGCTTAGCGGCACAATGCTAAAGCAAAGGTGACATGTCTGTTGCGCGCAGGTCCTGCTACCTACCCGGGATGACTTTGCTATTAAACAGCAGTCATAGTTTCAGGCAGTGACCTCTTGCCAAAAATCCCACACGCCCTTTTGAGAGGCTTCTGAGCAGCGCACGCCGGTCGCCATCTTCGTGGGACAGTCTCGGGACTGGCATCAGGGGTAGGGGTTACAGTTCAGATGCTTCTCCAACCTTTTTTCAGCGTCCGTCCCTGGCCTCACGCTGGGACGATGGCCGCGTGGCTCTCCGAGGAGCTCCTGTGCTGGCCCCGGGGGACGGACGGGAGGACCAGTCGGTCTCTTCCCAGATTTTTTTTCTAGGATTGCTTCCCACGCAGCCCTGGGAAAGCCCTAGACTGACGGTTTTTGTGAGTGGAAGATAGAGGTCGGGCCAGCAAGGACTGTCAGACCTGCTGAGGCCCTAGTTCAGACGGGGCCGCCAGGACACTCGTCACAGTCCGCCTGGAGGTGGGATAGAGGACGCGGAGCAGCGGCTTCACTTCTTGAGGCCTTCAGCTGCCGCCTCTTCATCCGGGGAGAATTGGCTTCTCCTGTGATATTGGGAGAAGACCCCATTGCAGGGCATGAGATTGGACAAGCAGGATGGGGAGGACAGAGACAGCAGGGGGCTGTGGTGCATATGGGGTGGGCAGGCTGTGTCCCTGGCCCGTCCTGGCCGCCTCAGGCCATGTAGGGAGTGAGGTGACTACTCTGGCCTCGCCACAGGCCCGTGTCCACCAGGAGTCTCTGACGGTGCCTTGGGGCATCCTGGACTCTGCCTCGTGGTGCAGGCAGTGGCAGGGCACAGGGTGTAGTGGCCAAGCCGCAGCCCCCTGACCAGGCCCTGGAGCTCAGCTCCTTTGCAGGCCCCTCAGAGCGTCTCGAAGGGACTTGTCTGTTACAGGAGAGAAGGATGACGAGGACGAGGATGTGAAAAAGAGAAGGGAAAAGCAAAGGAGAAGAGACAGGACGCGGGACCGTGCAGCCGACAGGTGAGGCACGGGCACACACCCCCACAGGAAGAGGTGGACCTGGTGCAGTGGAGGCGCTCCCGAGCTCACCTGTCCTCCCTCCACAATGCTGGGGGCCTGGTAGCCTGACTCCTCTGGCCAAACCAGTGGGAGGCAAAACAGGAAACCGTTGAGAGTGCAGAAAAGGCCATCGCTTGTGCTCCCAGCACACAAGCTACCTGTCTTCTAGGACGGCTGGGATGTTGCTTTGGTGAAGTTAGGTTTCTGTTCTTGCTTAGAGAACTGGTGTTTGACTCGTGTCTGTTTTCCTCTGGAGTCCCAGCCTTACTAGTGGGTCTGTGTGGTCCATAACTGCCCAGCAGGGGGCTCTGTTACTCTCCTGCAGGCCTGAGGGGCAGCCCTGTCCCCTGGCCTGGTGTCTGGCATCTCAGTCAGTGTCCTGCGTACACCTTATCTAAATCCAGACCACCCCTGGAGTTTGACATAGCTAGGAGACAGGTAGAGACAGGGTCCTACCATCAAGATTTTGTCCCAGACTAGAAAATGATTGCAAAATGTTGAGCCCAAAGGATGTCAGCATGAGCACACCATGTGCTTGCCCCTCCCTGCCAGGAGTTAAGTGGCTTCCGACTAGAAACTGAAATTACCAGTGATCATGTGATGCTGAGGAATCCTTGACCTTAAGGTTCACATGGGAGAGTGGTTTTTTTTTTCTTTTTTTTGTTCTTGAGATGGAGTCTTGATCTGTTGGCCAGGGTGGAGTGCAATGGTGCAATCTCGGCTCACTGCAACCTCTGCCTCCTGGGTTCAAGCCATTCCGCCTCAGCCTCCTGAGTAGCTGGGATTACAGGCACCCGCCACCATGCCCGGCTAAGTTTTGTATTTTTCGTAGAGGCGAGGATTCACTGTGTTGGCAAGGCTGGTCTCAAACTCCTGATCTCAGTGATCTGCCCACCTTGGCCTCCCAAAGTGCTGGGATTACAAGCGTGAGCCGCTGTGCCCAGCCTGGACAGTGATTATTTTGTTCAAAGAAATGCTTAGTAAAAGGGGTGAGATGCAGTGGCTCAGGCCTGTAATTCCAGCACTTTGGAAGACTGAGCCGGCGGCTCGCTTCAGGCCAGGAGTTCAAGACCAGCCTGGTCAGTATGGTGAAACCTGTCTACTAAAACTACAAAAATTAGCCAGGCATGGTGGCAGGTGCCTGTTATTTCAGCTACTACTGTAATCTCAGCTACAAGAACGAAACTCCATCTCAAAAGAGAAGTGCTTAGCAAAATGAAGCCAGGAACCAAACACGGAACTGTTTCTTCTTAAGCGGTACGGGAACATTGAAACCCTTGTTATTTTAAACAGATAAATGATGGATAGAGTAGATGACTTTTCGTGTCACATGGAAACTGAGATGACTTTTTTTTTAGACTTTAATAATATAATGAAGAGACAGGGGTCTTTCTTTGTTGCTTGGGCTATTGAACTAGCCTCAAGAGATCTTCCTGCCTTGACCTCCCAGAGTACTGGGAGAAGGGCATAGAGGTGACATTTTTTTACTTCCTTTTTGCTTTTTTTTTAATCTTGTATGTTCTTCCAATGAAGAGGTGACTTATTTTTATTTATTTATTTTTTGAGACAGAGCCTCGCTCTGTCGCCCAGGCTGGAGTGCAGTGGCGCGATCTCCACTCACTGCAAGCTCCGCCTCCTGGGTTCGCGCCACTCCATAGGGGGTGTCTGCAGAAGTGGGCGTGTCTTCGTGGTGCTTGTCAGAGGTCAGAAGCTAGGCTTGTGGAGTTGGCAGAGGTGAAGTCCTGAGAGCCACAGGGCCTGTACCCCTACACCAGAAGGGCAGGAGCCTCCAGGACACAGCCAGGGAGGAAGCACCCCAGTGTGGTGGCCTGGGGGTCTGCAGGCTGCTCTCCCTTGCCATGCAGCGTGGTTACTTTTGGGGAGGCTTCGAAAGCCCGCGACAGAGAAGTCTCCCTTTTCATCTGTAGAATTGGTTGTGACATGTCCCTACGTGGAGTCTCATGGGAGAGCTGGTCTTGGGTTTTGTGTTTTGAATTGTGCGAGGTGTTTTGTCTGCACGTAAAATGAGGTTGCCTTGTGTCATCCCAGTGGCTGCAGAGAGAAACTCATCTGAGAAGCTGTGGAGCTAGATGCTGGGCCCCAAGAGCCGCCAGCCAGAGCCTAGGGCGTCCCCAGTTCTGAGCAGTTGCAGCTTTCCGGTATTTTCTCAGGGGCTTTGGGGCCAGACGGGGCTGCAGGGTCAGCAGATTACTATGTGAATCATTTGCCTGAGATACTTGCCAGTCCGTGTTCCCATTCTTCAGCCGGGGAAGTTTGGGTAACTGCCGTTCTGTTGCTCCTTGGGAAGTCAGAACTCTTGGTTCAACAGCGACTTTCCCTAGCTGAGTGCAGTGGCATGCACCTGTAATCCCAGCTACTTCGGAGGCTGAGGCGGGTGGATCACCTGAGGTCAGGAGTTCGAGACCAGCCTGGCCAACATGGTAAAACCCTGTCTCTACTAAAAATACCAAAAAAAAAAAAAAAAATAGGCTGGGTACGGTGGCTCACACCTATAATCCCGGCACTTTGGGAGGCGGAGGCGGGTGGATCACAGGTCAGGAGTTTGAGACCAGCCTAGCCAACATGGTGAAACCCCGTCTCTATAAAAAATACAAAAATTAACTTGATGTGGTGGCGGGCGTCTGTAACCCCAGCTACTCGGGAGGCTGACACAGGAGAATCACTTGAACCCGGGAGGTGGAGGTTGCGGTGAGCTGAGATCGCACCACTGCACTCCAGTCTGGGCGACAGCGAGACTCCATCTCAAAAAATAAAATAAAATAAAAATACAAAAACAATGGCTGGGCGCAGTGGCTCACACCTGTAATCCCAGCACTTTGGGAGGCAGAGGCGGGCGGATCACCAGGTCAGGAGATCGAGACCATCTTGGCTAACACGGTGAAACCCCGTCTCTACTAAAAATACAAAAAATTAGCTGGGCGTAGTGGTAGGCGCCTGTAGTCCCAGCTGCTCAGCAGGAGAATGGCGTGAACCTGGGAGGTGAAGCTTGCAGTGAGCTGAGATCATGCCACTGCACTCCAGCCTGGGTGACAGAGCGAGACTCCATCTCAAAAAAAAAAAAAAAGCCAGGCTTGGTGGTGGGGGCCTGTAATCCCAGCTACTCAACTCAGGAGGCTGAAGCAGGAGAATTGCTTGAACCCAGGAGGTAGAGGTTACAGTGAGCTGAGATTGCGCCGTTGCACTCCAGCCTGGGCAACAAGAGTGAAACTCAGTCTCAAAAAAAAAGAAAAAGATTCCTGAAAATCCTGATTCTATTTCAGCTCTCCCCAGAGGTGAGCTGATGCTCCCTGCTTCACTCCCCTCCTTGTTTTCCTTCCCCAGAATTCAGTTTGCTTGTTCTGTGTGCAAGTTCCGTAGCTTTGACGATGAGGAGATCCAGAAGCATCTGCAAAGCAAATTCCACAAAGAGACACTGCGGTTCATAAGCACCAAGCTGCCTGACAAGACAGTGGAGTTCCTGCAGGTAAAGGACAGCTGGGTCCCGTCACCTCATCTTCCATCGATCCGGCAGGTGCCGGATCCCTTGAAGGACAAAGGGAAATCAGACGCCATACTTGGCCAAGGTTTCCTTTCCAGATAGAGCAGCTGTGTAAGTCCCCGAGTCACGGGGACAACCGAGAGCTCCGGCCATAGTGCTGTGCTGAGCATGGAACTGCTCTGATAGCTGCCTGTCTAGCCCTGGCAGCTGAGAAATGTCCACACATGCCAGCCTCTCATTTTACTTTATGCCATCTCCAACCCTACCTAGGAATACATTGTAAACAGAAATAAGAAAATTGAGAAGCGGCGTCAGGAATTGATGGAGAAAGAAACTGCGAAACCAAAACCAGATCCTTTCAAAGGTGAGTTGTGATCCCAGGATGCGTGCCGTCCTGGATGGTAGTAAGGCATGTGACGGGACCCGTAAAACGTGGCGCGAGGCTGGGCGTGGCGGATCACGAGGTCAGGAGATCCAGACCATCCTGGAAACCCCATCTCTACTAAAAGATAGAAGAAAGTAGCTGGGTGTGGTGGCAGGCGCCTGTTATCCCAGCTACTTGGGAGGCTGAGGCAGGAGAATGGCGTGAACTCCGGAGGCGGAGCTTGCAGTGAGCCAAGATTGCACCACTGCACTCCAGTCTGGGCGACAGAGTGAGACTCCATCTCAAAAAATAAAATAAAAATACAAAAACAATGGCTGGGCGCGGCGGCTCACGCCTGTAATCCCAGCACTTTGGGAGGCCGAGGCAGGTGGCTTACAAGGTCAGGAGGTCGAGACCATCCTAGCTAACACGGTGAAACCATCTCTACTAAAAAACATACAAAAAATTAGCCGGGTGTGGTGGCGGGTGCCTGTAGTCCCAGCTACTCGGGAGGCTGAGAGGCAGGAGAATGGCGTGAACCCGGGAGGCGGAGCTTGCAGTGAGCTGAGATCGCGCCACTGCACTCCAGCCTGGGCGACAGAGTGAGACTCCATCTCAAAAACAAAAAAAAGCAATGTGGCGCAAAGCCAGCTCAAGGTGGCTGAGAAGGTGATGGTGAGACCTGTGGGAAGAGCGCTCAGCAGCAGTGGAAAGAAAGAAACCTTCGGATGTGGCCTTGCATAGATCGTAGCTTATATCCTGACGTTAAGCACGTCCGTGTCTTTTCCTCGTTGGTTTGAAAAGAGAGGACCAGGAGAAACAGAAAAGCTGAAGTGTGCAGAATTCCCAGCTATAGAGGCCGATGTGCTAGCCCATACTCCCCATAGAAAGGCAGGCTATGCCCTTCTGACTCCTTAGAGTTGCAGGGAGAAAACGTGGGCCCTGTTGGGGAGTGGGAGGAAAGAATCACTTGCTGTCCCAGATCCTAAAAGACATGCGTTTCCTCGCAGGGATTGGCCAGGAGCACTTCTTCAAGAAGATCGAGGCTGCTCACTGCCTGGCCTGCGACATGCTAATTCCTGCACAGCCACAGCTCCTCCAGCGGCACCTGCACTCCGTGGACCACAATCACAACCGCAGGGTGAGTCTTCCTCCCACACTGCCTGGGGTGCGCATTGCAGGGCTGCGGCTCAGAGCCTCCTGTGTCTTATGGGGAATAACAACATCTTTAGGGGCCCTTGCTGTGTTTCAAGTCTGTCACTTCCATCGATGAGTCGTAGGATTTATCTCAGTTTTTATAAAAATATGAGAAAATGTGTTGCTTAGACTCAATTAAATGCAGTAGCTACGATTCTCCTGATAGCGTTTCCACATAGGTCAGTTTCCCAGTAGCTGAAGGCCTGGGGGCTTCTGTAAGCTGAGACCAAAGGGCCATTGAGAGCCGAGTGGCCCAGGGGACTTGGACTAAAGGACTGGTTCTGTCCTTACCTACCTGATGGGGCTTCAGGCTAAATGTTGAGCCCAGGGGTCACATGTTAAAGATTCTGGAAAAATACCTTCTTTTGTAAGGACTCAGATCATAAGTATTTTTAGCATTGCGGACCATAGAGGCCCTATCCAGTGACACAGCTGTACCTGCTGTCAGTGCAGAAAAGCAGACAGTGAAGAGTGCCTGTGGCTGCGTTTGCTCTGCAGCCTGTCACTTCCTGGTCCTGGGTTAGCAGCTCTCTCCTTAGTTTACTCAGCTATTAAATGGGGAGGTCAAAAGCTGCCCACCCATCTCACAGTACTGTGTTTTGGTTTTGATTATGGTTTTTTGGTTTTTGTTTGTTTGTTTGTTTGTTTGATGGAGTTTCACTCTTGTTGCCCAGGTTGGCGTGCAGTGGTGCGATCTCAGGTCACTGCAACTTCCGCCTCCCAGGTTCAAGCAATTCTTCAGCCTCAGCCTCCAAAGTAGCTGGGATTACAGGTGCCCACCACAACGTCCGGCTAATTTTTTGTATTTTTAGTAGAGATGGGGTTTCACCATGTTGGCCAGGCTCGTCTTGAACTCCTGACCTCAGGTCATTCACCCGCCTCAGCCTCCCAAAGTGCTGGGATTACAGGTGTGAGCCACTGCGCCCAGCCCCAGTACTGTTAAAGATAAGCTGAAAAGCAGTATACAAACAAGGGACCATTGTGCTGAAGGCGTGAGCTGCCACACCCAGCATAGTCATACTTTTGTTGAACTTATGAAATCAGTGTAACCCCAAAAACTGAAAAGAAAGAGCTTGCCCTTTTCCTCCACTGAGCCCACACCGCCTTTCATTTGTGAACACTCTTGTTTCACCCCCGATTCTGCATGTGCTACTTGGGTATCAGTGGCGCATCTTTGCGTTTATCTCTTAAGATTGTCCAGCTTTTCCAGTTTGTTAGTCTTGGTTGCACAGTCTCTCTGGAGCCTTCTTTCGATTCGTGGAGCCTGGTGTTTTGAGATTTGCCTCTCTGCATAGGGCTGATCTCAGGATGGCGCGGCGGAGCCTGACTGGTTTGTTCTCTTGCTTATCCTTACCATTTTTAAAAGATCACATTTGGTGCCCTTTGCAGTTGGCTGCTGAACAGTTCAAGAAAACCAGTCTCCACGTGGCGAAGAGTGTTTTGAACAACAGACACATAGTGAAGATGCTGGAGAAATACCTCAAGGTTCGTGCTTGCGAGTACCACAGACAGGAAAAGCTTTTGAAAGGGAAGACGAACCCCACGAGCAGGGAGTTGAATCCAGAGTGCAGCGTTCAGCATTTCTGAGTCTTTTGACCAGTTGAGGGACACTGGAGTACGTCAGGCTCCGGAACGTGACAACTGGGATTTCCAGTCAGTCACTGCTTGCCTGGGGACTCTGGGGATGTGGTGCAGCTTGAAAATCCTGATTGTTTAGCCTTAAAATTCTGAGCAAATGATTTTTAGGTGCTTTAGAAAAACCCAAGGTTAGCCCTACTCGGGAAGCTGGGAAGGGAGGATTGCTTGAGCCCAGGAATTTGAGGCTACAGTGAGTGATGGTGGTACCACTGCACTTCAGCCTGGGTAACATAGCAAGACCTGGTCTTTAAAATAAAGGAAAGCAGAGAACTGGGAGTTATGGCTCATGCCTGTAACCCCAGTAGCTTGGGAGGCTGAGGCAGGAGGATCCCTGAGCCCAGGAGTTAGAGGAGTTACGATTGTGCCACTGCACTCCAGCCCAGGTGACAGAGCGAGACCCCATCTCAAAAAAAATATCCAAGGTAGATGATAATTTTCCAGAAGAGAAGCTAAAAAGAGGTTTCACTGATAGAGCCAGTGGACAGTGAGGTTGAAGGTGAAAGAGGTTGAAGGTGAGGGGTAGTGAGGAACCAGAGCCTTCATGCTGGGAGCAGCATATAAAAGTCCCAAAGTGGGTGCTCATGGAGAGAAGGCTGGTTGGAAGAGCTCCCAGTTCTTTCTTGTGAAACCCATTTTGCTCAGTGTTCATCCCAGTACTTCGGCAAGGCCTGTTTGCCCTCCTCTCAGTTACTAAACACTTCCATATTGGACAGTTCCATCCATTAAAGGCACAGAATCTAAATAACCAATTTAAGAAACATGACTGGGCTGGGCGTGGTGGCTCACACCTGTAATCCCAGTACTTTGGGAGGCTGAGGTGGGCAGATCACTTTGAGCTCAGGAGTTCGAGATCAGCCTGGACAACATGGTGAAACCCTGTCTGTACAAAAAATACATAAATTAGTCAGGCACGGTGGCCCACGCCTGTGGTCCCCGCTACTCAGGGGGCAGAGGTTGCAGTGAGCCAAGATCGTGCCACTACACTCCAGCCTGGATGACAGAGTAAGACCCTGTCTCAAAAAAAAAAAAAAAGAGGGAAGAAACATAACTCACGATTTTACCTTTGTAGCTGAAGCAAGGTAAAAGTTTCTAGAGTCAAGTGTGGGCTCAGGCTTCTAAGCATCTTTTTTTTTTTTTTTTTTTTTTTTTTTTTTGAGTCAGGGTCTTGTTCTCTTAACAGGCTGGAGCGTAGTGGTGGGACGATAGCTCACTGCAGCCTCGCATTCCTGAGCTCAAGAGATCCTCCCCACTCAGTCTCCCAGGTAGCTGGGACTGCAGTACTACACCACCACACCTGGCTAATTTTTTTTTTTTTTTTTTGAGATGGAGTCTTGCTCTACCGCCCAGGCTGGAGTGCAGTGGTGCAACCTCTACCACCTGGGTTCACGCCATTCTCCTGCCTCAGCCTCCTGAGTAGCTGGGACTACAGGCGCCCACCACCACTCCTGGCCAATTTTTTGTAGTTTTGATAGAGATGGGATTTCACCATGTTAGGATGGTCTCGATCTCCTGACCTCGTGATTCACCCGCCTCGGCCTCCCAAAGTGCTGGGATTACAGGCGTGAGCCGCTGCGCCTGGCCTCACACCGGCTAATTTTTAAGACACTCTTGCACTGTTGCCCATGCTGGTCTGGCCTCAAGTGATCCTCCCGCCTTGACCTCCCAAATTGCTGGGGTTACAGGCATGAGTGCCTTGCCCTAAGCATCATATTTTAAAACATGTTTCCTAATCTGGTAATGATAACTTTTAGTTCGCTTGTTTTAGACTATAGATAGTTTTTTAGCATATAGTTAGGAGAATTTTGACTTCTGAGGGAGTCAGACTTGATTTGAATCTTCATTCTGATGTGTAGTAGTTTTGTTACCTCTGGCAAGTTACTGATCTTTGAAGCTCAGTTCCTTTTCTGGAAAATGGGGATTTATCTCAAGGCTATGGGCACAAATGACACTTAAAAAAAATTTTTTTTTTTGGCCAGGCGTGGTGGCTCACGCCTGTAATCCCAGCACTTTGGGAGGCCGAGATGGGCGGATCACGAGGTCAGGAGATCGAGACCATCCTGACTAACACAGTGAAACCCCGTCTCTACTAAAAATACAAAAATTAGCTGGGCAAGGTGGCAGGCGCCTGTAGTCCCAGCCACACAGGAGGCTGAGGCAGGAGAATGGCGTGAACCTGGGAGGCGGAGCTTGCAGTGAGTGGAGATCACGCCACCGCACTCCAGCCTGGGAGACAGAGTGAGATTCCATCTCAAAAAAAAAAAATTTTTTTTTTTGTTCTGCAACCTCTGCCTCCTGGGTTCAAGCAATTCTCATGCCTCTGCCTCCTGAGTAGCTAGGATTACAGGCATGTGCCACCATGCACGGCTAATTTTTGTATATTTTGTACAGCCGGGGTTTCACCATGTTGCCCAGGCTGGTCTCGAACTCCTGAGCTCAAGCAGTCCTCCGGCCCCAGCCTCCCAAAGTGCTAGGATTACAGATTACAGACATGAGCCACTGCACCTTAATGACACTAAAAAATTATGTAGTGTTAACTTCCGTTACATGCCGTTTTTTTAAAAACATCAAGTTAAGACTGGGCGCGGTGGCTCACGCCTGTAATTTCAGCACTTTGGAAGGCCGAGGTGGGCAGATTATGAAGTCAGGAGGTCAAGACCATCCTGGCTAACACGGGAAACCCTGTCTCTACTAAAAATACAAAAAATTAAGTGGGCGAGGTGGCAGGCGCCTTGAGCTACTCAGGAGGCTGAGGCAGGAGAATGGCGTGAACCCGGGAGGCGGAGGTTGCAGTGAGCTGAGATCGCGCCACTGCACTCCAGCCTGGGCGACAGAGGGAGACTCCCATCTCAAAAAAAAAAAAAAAAAAAAAAAAGCATCAGGTTAAGAAATCCTAGGTCTTGTGAACTTTTCCTCACTGTTACATGCTTGATTAAAAACTGCAGGCCGGGCACGGTGGCTCACACCTGTAATCCCAGCACTTTGGGAGGCTGAGGCGGGCAGATCACCTGAGGTTGGAGTTCCAGACCAGCCTGACCAACATAGAGAAACACCATCTCCACTAAAAATACAAAATTAGCCGGGTGTGGTGGTGCATGCCTGTAATCCCAGCTACTTGGGAGGCTGAGGCTGGAGAATCACTGGAGGCGGAGGCTGTGGTGAACCGAGATCACACCACGGCAGTCCAGCCTGGGTGACAATGAGATTCCGTCTCAAAAAAACAAATTGCAGAATATCTGGGAACACTTTTCTGAATCTGTAGGCTCTGAGAACATGTAGGATTCACTCCTGTGGTGTAACTTACAGAAGTGTTTCATTGTGGACTCTGCTGGTTCTGGAAAGCTGACATCCCAGCAATCATGGGCCTCCTGAGCTCTGCTTAGACCACACTGACCTGTGTTTCCTCTTTGGCCAGGGTGAGGACCCCTTCACCAGTGAAACCGTTGATCCAGAAATGGAAGGAGATGACAATTTAGGAGGTGAGGATAAGAAAGAGACACCTGAGGAGGTGGCTGCGGACGTCTTAGCCGAGGTGATTACAGCAGCAGTGAGGGCTGTAGATGGGGAAGGAGCGCCTGCTACAGAGAGCAACGGGGAGCCAGCTGAGGGCGAAGGCCCCATGGACACAGCGGAGGCCAGTAGTGATTCTCAAGCTGAACAGCTGCTGGAAGAGCAGGTGCCCTGCGGAACGGCACCTGAGAAGGGTGTCCACAAGGCCAGAAGTGAGGCTGCAGAGGCTGGAAATGGCACCGAGACAATGGGAGCAGAGGCAGAAAGTGCCCAAACCAGAGCTGCTCCTGCTCCAGCTGCCACGGATGCCGAAGTGGAACAAACTGATGCAGAGTCCAAAGATGCTATTCCCACAGAATGATGCTCATTTCCCTGTGCCAGGGAAGGCACTGGGATGATGGAGGTGTTGCTCCTTCTCCCTTGGTTTATAAGCAGTACAAGGGCGTGTGCTCCTGGAATATGCTGTAAACTAATTTTGGTGAAGAGACCCAGCCATTTCCTCCTGAGCAGTGCCTCTCACGGCTTGTCTTGTGCAGTCGTGTGGCTTCTTGCCCAGGTTTGAAAGAAGTACATTGTCCTTAGCAGCTGTAACATATCTCTTGACACTGCACTTGGAAATAATAAAGGTTGGGTGATTATATCTTGATGATACATTACTTGTTCAATATAGCCACTGATGGAATGCCTCTTTTTTTGTTTTATTTTTTTCCTTATTTTATCTTTTTTGGTTGGGAACAGCTCAACACTAGGAATGTATCTTGCTCTATAGAGGATTTTTGTTTGTTTCAAGCTTCAGCCTTTAATCTATACCTCTGTAGTGCACCATATGGTGTGTGACTTTCACAGGACTCGGCAGCACCTGGTTCACATGTGGCACCACGTCACATCCACGCGCTCTCAAAGGCCGGAAGAATCTGACCGACCTACGCCACTGGAAACATACCCACCTCAGCCTCAAGAACCAGACTGTGCAGAGGGCATTGCGCCCCAATCTTTAGTCCTTGCTGAATCATTTCTCTAATATTTTACCTCATTTGTGTTCCACCTCTAGATTACTTCAGTTTTTTTTTCCTTTAAAATTGGTTACTGCCACTCAAATGTATTTACAGAGAAAATTTGGCCAGACTCAGTGGTGCATGCCAATAATCCCAGCACTTTGGGAGCTGAGGCGGGAGCATAGCTTAAGCCCAGGAATTCAAGACCAACCTGGACAACATAGCAAGACCCCATCTCTTAAAAAAAAAAAAAAGGAAACTTGATGTGATTCCCATAGATGGAATAATCCAGCATAAGTTGCCATAGATAGAAGCTATCGGTTAAAAAAAAAAAAAAAAAAACGATAATATAATGAAGTACATGTTTCATTTTAGAGAAATAACTATTACTTTAGACCTTTCCGAATCTGAGAAAGGGAGGCTAGCATGTGTTCAAGGTTAGCACACAACAGTTAGAATTTCCTCAAATCAGAAGAATTGGAAGATACCCCCCCTTTTGAAATGGCCCTGCTGTGTCGGTTTCCCTGTGGCCTTGTGAACTGTATACATCTCACATGTTGGGAAACGCCACTGGGAAGTCACTAGGAGGCAGTAAAATTTTTGCTGAGCCTCTGCTGTATACCAGGGGCTAACTCACCATGCACATTCTAGGAACTGGGCCCTGCTCATGAGGAGCCTTAGTGGAGATTCCAGGTGAATATTTATTAAAAAGTCAACAATAGAACTGAAAATGGAAATAAACTGCTTGATAAGACGACGGTGCCTCTGGGTCATTTCTGCTCAGCATCCGTTCATGTTGCGTAGATGCGTCTTAATCACAGGTTGAGCCTGCTCTTTAAGCTTGTTATCTTAAGGCAAAAATGTTGGTAGCATTGAACATCAGTAGTGGAAAAAAACATCACTAGTGGAACTGCTTTATTTCCTTAATTTTCTTTTTTTCCTTTTTTTTTTTTTAATTTGAGACAGAGTCTCACTCTGTTGCCCAGGCTGGAGTGCAGTGGCGTGATCTTGGCTCACTGCAACCTCCGCCTCCTAGATTACAGGCTTGAGCTACTGCACCTGGCCCCCCGCCCCTTTTTTTCCTTCTTCTAAAACTCCAAGACCCGGCCAGGCATGGTAGCTCACAACTGTATTCCCGGTACTTTAGGAGGCCGACATGGGTGGATCACTTGAAGTCGGGAGTTCAAGAGCAGCCTGGCCAACATGGCAAAAATACAAAAATTAGCTGGGTGTGGTGGCACATGCTTGTAATCCCAGCTACTGGGGAAGCTGAGGCAGAAAAATTGCTTTAACCAGGGAGGCAGAGGCTGCAGTGAGTCGAGGTTACGCTACTGCACTCCAGCCTGGGCAACAGAGCAAGACTTTGTCTCAAAAAAAAAGATATTAGGTCGGGTGCAGTGGCTGACGCCTGTAATCCAAGGACTGGGAGGCCAAGGTGGGCAGATCACAAGGTCAGGAGCTCGAGAACATCTTGGCCAACATGGTGAAACCCCATCTCTACTAAAAATATAAAAATTAGCTGGGCATGGTGCTGTGCGCCGGTAGTCCCAGCTACTCTGGAGGCTGAGGCAGGAGAATCACTTGAACCCTGGAGGCAGAGGTTGCAGTGACCCAAGATCGTGCCACTGCACTCCAGCCTGGCAACAAGAGCAAAACATCTCAAAATATATATATATATATATATATGTATATATGAATCCAAGACCTGTCATTAAATTGGTCTGAATGTCAGTGAGGCTCTTCCACCTTCCATCTCTTGGTGAAACTACATAATTTTTTTGTTGTTTTGTTTTGTTTCATTTTTACAGGCAGGATCTCACTCTCTTGTCCAGGCTGGAGTGCAGTGGCACCACAATAGCTCACTGCAGCCTCCAAATCTTGGTTTGAAGTGATCCTCCCACTTCAGCCTCCTGATTAGCTGGGACTACAGGAGTGCACCACTCTGCCCAGCTAATTTTTAAAAGTCTTGTAGCCAGGCGCGGTGGCTCATGCCTGTAGTCCCAGCACTTTGGGAGGCCGAAGCAGATGGATGGCCTGAGGTCAGGAGTTCAAGACCAGCCTGGCCAGCATGGTGAAACCCCATCTCTACTAAAAGTATAAAAATTATACTATGTTTTTGCCTCCCAAACTGCTCCTGTGTTTGCCTCCCAAAGTGCTGGGATTACAGGTGTGAGCCACCACACCTAGCCTCACTTCATTCCTTTTTATGACTAAATAATATTCCATTGTATGGATACAGTACATTTTACATCTTGTTTATACGTTCACCTGATTAATGTGAGTTTACTATTGTAAACAGTGCTGCAAGGAACAGTCATGGTCAAGGGTTTATTTGAGTACCTGTTTTCTGTTTTATTTATTTATTTTTGAGATGGAGTGTCGCTCTGTGGCCCAAGCTGGAGTGCAGTGGCGCGATCTTGGCTCACTGCAATTTCCACTTCCTGGGTTCAAGTGATTCTTCTGCCTCAGCCTCCCGAGCAGCTGGGATTACAGGTGTCCGCCACAACACCTGGCTAATTTTTGTATTTTTAGTAGAGACGGGGTTTCACTATGCTGGCCAGGCTGGTCTCGAACTCCTGACCTTGTGATCCGCCTGCCTCGGCCTCCCAAAGTGCTGGGATTACAGGCATGAGCCACCATGCCTGGCTTCACTGTGGTTTTGATTGACATTTGCCTAATGATTCATGATGTTAGGCATCTGTTTATGTGCTTCTTGGCCATTTGCATATCTTTGCATATCTACACAAGTTCTTTGCTATTTCATTTTATATATTTTGAGAGAGGATCTTGCTCTGTCGTCCAGGCTGCAGTGCAGTGGTATGAATACAGCTCACCATAACCTCAACTTCCTGGGTTCAAGCAATTCTCACCTCAGCCTCCCAAGTAGCTGGGACCAGCGTGTGCCACCACGCCCAGGTAATTTTTTGATTTTTTTTTTTTTTTGTAGAGATAGGTTCTTCCTTTGTTATCCAGATTGGTCTTGAACTTCTGGGTGCAAGCCATCCTCCTGCCTCAGCCTCCCAAAGTGCTGGGATTACAAGTGTGAGCCACCACAACTCGCCTTTGCCCATTTTAAAATCAAATTGTCTTTCTGCTGATAGCAGGAATTTTTTGTGTATATTGAATACTAGACACTTGGCAGATATATGATGTGCAAATATTTTCTCCTGTTCTGTGGGTTATCTTTTCATTCCCTTCATAGTGCTCTTTAATGCACAAAATTTTTAATTTTGAGGCTTGGCGAGGTGGCTCATGCCTGTAATCCCAGCACTTTGGGAGGCCGAGTTGGGTGGATCACAAAGTCAGGAATTCAAGACCAGCCTGGCCAGCATGGTGAAACCCCATCTCTACTAAAAATACAAAAAATCAGCCAGGCATGGTGGCACCCGCCTGTACTCCCAGCTACTTGGGAGGCTGAGGCAGGAGAATTACTTGAACCCAGAAGGCAGGCGTTGCAGTGAGCAGAGATCACGCCACTGCACTCCAGCCTGGGCGGCAGAGTAATACTCCATCTCAATAAAATAAAGGAAAAATTAAATTAAATTAAATTAAAAAGTGAGTTTCTGGGAAAAAAATAATTTAATTTTGATGAAGCCTAATTTGTCTATTTTTTATTTTATAAATTGTGCTTTTGATGACAAATCAATAAAAACCGTTGTGATTCAGTCCAACAGGCTGTGAAAATAGAAAAAAGAAAAAGAAAAAACCATTGTCATATCCAAGGTCATGAAGATTTCACTCTTCCAGCACTTCGGGAGGCCAAGGTGGGAGATGACTTGAGCCTAGGAATTTGAGACCAGCCTGGGTAACATAGACCCCATCTCTACAAAAAAAAATTTTATTGGCTGGGCACAGGGGCTCACGCCTGTAATTCCAACACTTTGGGAGGCCGAGATGGGTGGATCACCTGAGGTCAGGAGTTTGAGACCAGCCTGGTCAACATGGTGAAACCCCATCTCTACTAAAAATACAAAAATTAGCCAGGCATGGTGGTGTGCGACTGTAGTCCCAGTTACTTGGGAGGCTGAGGCAGGACAGTTGCTTGAACCTGGGAGACAGAGGTTGCAGTGAGCTGAGATCGTGCCACTGCACTCCAGCCTGGGCAACAGAGCAAGACTGCCTCTCAAAAAAAAAGAAACAAAACAAAAAATTAGTCTGGCATGGTGGCATGCACCTGTAATCCCAGCTACTCAGGAGGCTGAGGCAGGAGAATTGCTTGAACTCAGGAGGGAGGCAGAGGTTGCAGTGAGCTGAGATTGCATCGCTGCACTCTAGCCTGGGTAACAGAAGGAGACTTGGTCTCTTAAAAAAAAAAAAAAAAAAAAAAAAAAGGCTGGGCGTAGTGACTCAAGCCTGTAATCCCAGCACTTTGGGAGGCCAAGGCGGGCTGATCACCTGAGGTCAGGGGTTCGAGACCAGCCTGACCAACATGGCAAAACCCCATCTCTACTAAAAATACAAAAATATAAAAATTAGCCAGGCGTGGTGGCACGTGTCTGTACAGCTACTTGGGAGGCTGAGGGAGAAGAATCGCTTGAGCCCCGGAAGTGGAGGTTCCAGTCAGTCGGGATCGCGCCACTGCACTGTAGACTGGGCGACAAGAACGTGACTCTGTCTCAAAAAAAAAAAAAAAAAAAAATTAGGTTGTCATGGTAGCATGTACCTGTAGTACCAGCTACTCGGGAGAGGCTATGGTGGGAGGATCACTTGAACCCAGGAGTTCAAGGCTACAGTGAGCTATGATTCCATCACTGCATTCAAGATTCAAGCCTAGGCAATAGAGCAAGATCCTGTCTCAAAATTTGCCTCTAGGCTGGGCGCGGTGGCTTATGCCTGTAATCCCAGCACTTTGAGAGGCCCAGGCAGGCGGATCACTGGAGGTTGGAAGTTCGAGACCAGCCTGACCAACATGGAGAAACCACATCTCTAGTAAAAATACAAAATTAGCCAGGCATGGGGGCACCTGTAATCCCAGCTACTCAGGAGGCTGAGGCAGGAGAATCGCTTGAAGCCCGGAGGCGGAAGTTGCGGTGAGCCGAGATTGCGTCACTGCACTCCAGCGTGGGCAACAAGAGCAAAACTCCATCTCAAAAAAAAAAAAAAAAAAGCTGGGCTCGGTGGCTCATGCCTGTAATCTCAGCACTTTGTGAGGCCGAGGCAGGCAGATCACCTGAGGTTTAAAGTTTGAGAGCGGCCTAACAAACATGGAGAAACCCTGTCTCTACTAAAAATACAAAATTAGCCGGGCGTGGTGGTGCATGCCTGTAGTCCCAGCTACTCAGGAAGCTGAGGCAGGAGAATGGCTTGAACGCGGGAGGTGGA